GCTCTATTCACTAGGGGGTTTACAAGAGTATATACAGGTTTTCACCCCTCAATGAGATTTACCCGACAATGATTAATCACAACACAACACTCTCATTTCTTCACTTTTAGGAGTACACTGAGTTTGAGGTCAAATGGACATGAAATGAAAGAAAAAATCCAGAAAACATAAGGAACATGAATGTGGAGTGTTGCACTGTGTAAACCTAACCACCCTGGCCTCATGAGGTTGTCCCTGTCCAATGAGTGGCTAGCCAGGGAGCAGGTGGACAAAAGGCCAGCATCACATGTGCCAGTGTTTGTTTGTTTTGATGAGACATGGAAACTAATCAGGAAGTTATTTTCATCTGCATCACCACCAATTAATTCACAATCCCTGACCTTGCTTGCCTCTTTTCACAAATGGGTTGGCATGCAGACTCACTGAGTCGCTGTAAGCACCTTGCAGCTGAGGCTGCAGAGCTACACATGCAGAAAACCCTGACTTCATATAGAACTCAAATTCTATGTGCAGGCCAGAAGGGTGAAAAAGCTCCCAGTGCTAGGGAGCATTCTTCCAATTGCAGGGTTGCCTATCCTACATTGGTGCAGAGGCTCAATGGTGGGAAAAGTCGGCTCCAAGCCTCAATGATCTGGTTGTGGCTGAATTGAGTGGAGAGTGATACTCTTGTAGATTTCATTCTCCTTATGTCCAACCATGGATTCCCCACTACCCATGATCGTTGAAGGAGGGAATGAAGGAAGGTCAGTTGGGAGGTTCAAACGAGACCACCACCAAGCTGTTCCCTGGTTCTTTAGTTAGGATGGGGAAGTGTACTAGTAATATTTGTTGTAATTATAGTACCAATCCGAGTGTTTTGGCTAATTCTATTTTATGGGTTAGTCTAAAAGTTTCTGAGAATTGACTTACAGATAAACCAAGCCCTGTGGAGCTGTTCCTCTATTGTAATTTCTCAATTTGTCTGGGTGTAATTCTGTGTAGGATTGTTTAATTTGGATTTTGACTTGAATTAAATCTTCTACTTGGTGAAGTTTCAAAGATTCTACTCAGTTAATGGGTTTAGATCATGTCTGAAGTGTCCCTTGACCTTGTCTTATTTTTATTGCTTGTTTTAACAGTAGCAAAATAACTGTTTTGTGTTTACACTTTGAAATCTGGAGTGTTAACCAGCTCTCCTGTTGAAATATTTACTTAATATTCCTCTCCCTAATTGCTGCCTTTTACTACAGTGGCAATCTTAACTGTATATCACTTTTTTGCACTGGAGTGACAACCAGAAATGCTTGAGAAAAATAATACTCTATTTTCTTACTTCTCTGAGGGGGGAAAAAGGTCACAGAAAGGGTCTCCCTTTTATACTCCTTGGGTTGCCTTCCTTTTTCACACAATACCTCGTATTTACAGGATTTATTTACAGTGTATTTTCCTCAAACTGAATAAAAATGAATTTTTCACACTATAGTTCTACTGCACTCAGCAGCGCTGAACTGCAGCTCTACTGCAGTCAGACTGCACCTAGAATCCTTATTGTCCTTCCTCACCTAAGCTATTTTAATGGTTCAATTAGAACTTGACTGCGCTGCATTTGTTGCAGTTTTCTATTTCAAATTCCTCTTATTTACCATTTAGTTTGCTATGACTTGGTCATTCTGAATTCAAAACTCGCATTACTATGCGTATGGCTGCGCTGAGACCTTCAGCTGATTTATTCTATTTTTATCCAGTAACATTTAGTTGAAATGAGACTTGAAATGATAAATGAGTGAATTATTCAGGTTTAGAACCGAAAGAAAAAGTTGCTAGTAGTAAAGAATTGTTTAAACGAATGTGTTATAGCTCTCTGCTTCATTAGAATATCGTTCCCTAAAATTCCTGCCATGGTCCATCATAGTTTAGTGGTTTTCATGGATTTCGTCCTTCTCCCCTGATTCCCCTTTGTATTATTGCATCCTAGTCCTTCGTATGTATTGTTTGTTGTTATAATAGGTCGTCCTCGAAGATATCATATTTCTATGTATTTTATTTGGGGCTCTGGACCTCTAGAAGCTGTCTTCCTGCATGTTTTCAGGTTTCAAACTTCATGTCCTTGTATCTCATTCATTTCAGAATGGTTTTTTACGTTCTTGGCATCATAAATTTTCATTTACTCCCACCTTTCCAATGGTACTAAAGTTGTATTCTATTTCTTGGTATTCGTCAAGTTAGCAAAAGTTTGCACGCACATTCAGTAATCACATGCATTGTTCCCGTAGTCGTTCGTATGCGGACACCATTTCTGTTTAATTGTTCAGAATTTATTGTATGCATGGGTGTTTGTATCCTCTATATGGGCTCCCATGATTTATTTCAGATTTTTCCCTCATGTTCTAAGGTGTTTTTGTACTTTCCATGCTTTGTTTTGACCAGGGTCTTCCTTATTTGGACAGAAATTGGTCTTCGCAATCTGCCAGAGTGTGGATCTCGGTTCTGACAGCCAGTTCCCTTCGCATCGCCACCCTCATGTGTCTTTAAGCATGATGTGGATTTCTATATTCCCATTGTTGGCATAACTTCACAATGGCTGGACCATTTGGCTGAAACTTTGCATAACTATAGTTTCCTATTTATCATAATTTCTGTGTAAATTTCGTTGTGTGTTTTAAATATGGATCCTACATGAACATTGTCTTTTCCCTGAGCCATGACTTTGATGTTGCTCATCCCATTATTGAATTTCTCATTGATGTGTGAACCTTTTATTATGAAAATTGGGGTGGATTAAGATTAGATCCCTTCCTTTCTAATGGCTATCAAGCTCATCTCAGTCGTTACTGCTTGTTCTTCGTGCTTGCCTTTTAAACGTTGTCCTCATTTTCTGAGAGTTTCGGTCATATCTCCGTCATTTATGGGTAGTTTTCCCTGAAATTACTTTCATTGGGTCCATTTGGGAGACATCTACATTTCCTATTATAAACACGACTTTGAATTTTGCATTGGTTCCTAAGGAATCCTTGTTCCATGGTACTTCCATCCTTGGCTACATGTGTGGGCGTGGGAAGGTAGTTTCGGTGGAGGTTCTCTGATTGGTTTTATAGTCAAATCTTGCCCGATTGTCCTAGTTCCTTGTTTAATATTTGCTATAAATTCCCCCGAGCATTCCGTCTTGTTGGTGCTAAGCTCGATGTATTTTTATTAATTTTCTTTCTTCCAATTTATCATCTGTAGTCGTTAAAATTCGTTAAAATTTGTTAAAATTCAGGTTCTTCTATTTTCTCATATATATTTGTTGTATGGGGTTTTTCGTGGTTTATCTGACATATTTCCATAATGAGTTTCCATAGGGTGACCATTATTTCTCCTACATTGTGTGATGGAGTATGCATTGGAAGTTGCCCAGATACAGCACCCAACCCTTACCCAGCTTGGCAAAAGTTGGGTTGATGGTTTTTTAGTATGCAACAATGACCGACTTCGACTCAAGTGGAGTGCCAACCTTGACAGTACTTGGGGTGGTGCTGTAAATCCTACAGCTGTACAACACTGGTTCCAACTTTTACAAGTTCAGTATAGCCATTTCAATTTCAGACAAAAGGATGTCAATGCTATGTATGAGAGCAGCTTCCCTTTTGGGACAGGGGAAAAAGTCAAGGTCTTTGCATGCAGGATGACAAAAAGAGCACATGTTCAGTGCAATGGGAATTGTGGGAATGTGAGCATGATAGTGACTGTCTGTGCAGATGGCACTTCTGTGTCTCCAGTTGTCATTTTTAAGGGGCAGAATGTGAACTCAAACTGGTTGAAGGACAATCCCTTGTGGGCTGCATGAGTTACTCATTCATTTTGTGTGAGTGTGTGTTCATATTTTGGCATTCTAGAGTCACTGTCTCAGAAAAAGGATGGACAGACAATGAGATCGGCTTGGATTGGCTGCAAACTTTTAATGCGACTGCTACCATCTTCTGGTACTGGATGGACATAATTCACACTACAGCCTCGACTTCATGACCTTTGCATGCAACCACAAAATTGTTGTTGTATGTTATCTTGCCCACACAACACATGTTCTCCAGGGTCTCAATGTCATTATATTCTCCCTCTTAAAGTGGGGCTTCTCAAAGCAACGAGATGCCTTCAATTTACAGAACTACCCAAGGAAACTACATTTCTATCAGTCTTTGGTCAAGCTTGGACCGACACAATTACCCCAGCCCACATTATCACCAGCTTCTGAGTAACTGGTGTCTATCCTGTCAATTCAAGTGTCATCCAGCCTGAAAAACTTGCACCAAGCATTGGACATTCCACCCAAGGAGATCTTCCTCTCCCTCTGGCCTCACCTGTTAAGCATGTTATGCACTTTCATGGTCAGTGTCAGGGCACACCCGCCTGACCCGGTTCCACCCGGGCCCACCTGGGCCCACCTCACCCGCTCCCCGCTACCCATCCATCCTCCATCCTCCATCCTCCCTCTTCCCCCTCTCCCCTTTCCTCCCCTTTCCCTCTTTCCTCTTCCTCCTTTATTTCATTCTCCCTTTCTGTTTATTCTTTCTATTTACACGGACCACCTTCCCTTGTATCATTGTACTGTTGACCCATCCAGCTCGGACACCCCGGACAACTTCCTGCTATGCCTAGCACACCCATCTGCAGCGGATGCCCTCATGATCCCCCACAGGGATACCCGGATGGCTGCGGCTCTCTCCGTAGATGACGTGGCACTCGTCATGTGACCCAAGCCGCATGTACATAAATGTACCTGAAGTGGGAACTGAAGAAGTAACCTTCTTCTCACGTTTTCCACTAGTGTAGTTCTTCCTTTTAATAACAATTCACGTTTTCCACTTCAGTCTAAGTGGCCAGGGACTACAGTCCCAGATTGGGCCCATCAGTATGCACGCCCGCTTCGCTCCCCGAGAGGGTCCCTCTGCTGGGCGCTACATCCAGGCCCCCTCCACCCTGGACGTGTCCCTGACAGTCAGTTGATGTCTTGAATATACCAATGCGATGGCACGCCTTCACCAATGGACAACTCACAGGATGTCAGAATGTACCTAGGCAGAAATAATGATCTGCATGGTGAGGTTACTGGTGACAAAAGCGATGGACCAATCATCAATCCCACCTTGCTTGCCATCTCTCAAATAATGTGCATCCCATGTGCCACCCCATACAATTTCCACACACCACTGCAATCCTTAAGCACCGAGAGTATGATGTTTAGCACTGAGAATGCGACACTTAGCACTGAGGGTACTGTAGTTAGTGCTGAGAATACCACCACCAGCTCTGATGAGTCTCTTACCTTTCCTCCTGCTCATGCCCAGGCAAAGAAGCATGCCATCAATGACCTGGAATATATCATGTCATTTTCCTCATCCTCAAATTCCATCATGTCCTCCTCACCTCTCCAATCAACCTTCAAACTTCTGCTTCCAAGACCCACCTTGAATTGATGGAAGAGATCCAAGAAATGTGGCACAAGCTTTGGAAGGCAAAAGCCTTGGTAGAGAGAGCCACCAATGTAGTGGATGTGACAAATGCCCAGTTGGCATTGGGGGGATGTATGTGTCTAAGTCTCAGATACAGCTCTTAGTGCGGGAAGAAGCAGAGAAGTTGAAGGAGGATGGTGGTCACATTAAGGGGACATTTGGCTGAGTTGTGATGCATGATGGTTTCTTGAGGGACCAAGCTGAGCGCACTCAAAGACAATTGGATGAGGAAGAGCTGGAACAAGTGAAGGAAGAGGCCAAGGAGCAATGGAAAAGGTTTAACAACTCACAGAAAGCAGAAATAGCAAAGTGGCAGGAAGAAAAAGCACACTTGGCTGCACTCAAGCAAAAAGTGCTACCAAAGCCATCGGAGGTCCAAATGAGGGAGTGGATGGCCAAAAATTACATATCCACAGCTTCAACAAAGCCTCTTGTGTCACTGGGGGCATCAGGGAGTGCAGAACAATCACAGGGTCTGGTGTGGGTGTGTGAGCACACTGTCACACCATCTCACACCATCTCATTGAGGGTAAATGTGCAGATTTTGTGCATACTTGCATACATTCTCGATAATATCAGCTTTCATAGGTACATGTTTGTTTTCTTTGTACTTGACAAATTTTTGGGATTTTTTAATAGAGTTTTACGACAACAGGTTTCAAAATCTGGACCATTGAGGGGTGAAAACCTGTATAGAATATTTGAGTCCGAAGGTAAACCAATGTTACCAAGGGGAAGCAGAAGTGAATAATAAATGACTCCACAGGACAAATGGGTTTTAGGCAAAAAGCCCAAATTACATCTGAGAAGGAGAATGGTGAACCAACTGAATAACAGAGGTTAAGTCTATCCATAAGTGAGCAGGGGTACTATGAGGAAAACATCCAGAAAGGTCCAGAACTCAGAAGTTGCAGTCTGGGATATTGGGTGCAGGGAAAATATAAGGAGTAATTAAAGAATATGATGGCAGAGGTAGGGTAGGAGATAAGGAGGTACTGGGTGTATGGAGGTCTGCAGGATTGACAAACAGAAGTCTGGAGGTGAGGATGACGGAGGTACAGAGATCCTGATAAGGAAGGGGTAGGGTAAGGTAGGAGGAAGTATGACTAATAATTATTATGGTAGTAACCTTAGTCTACTTGCAATATGTACATCCAAGGAGGTCTGAGGCAGAAGGTACCCAAGGGGGTCTGGAGGTGAGAGGTCCGGAGTTGAATATAAGGAAGTGATGATGAGAGATGGGGGTTCTGACAACTTCATCAGTAGTCCACACAGCACTCATCAGAACAATGGTGGAGGTCCATAGGAGGTGCAGAAGTGGAGAGGGTACATGGGGTGGAAGAGAGTCAGGGTAGGAAGAAGACTTAGGCTTGTAGGCATTGACCAGAGAGGGCAGAGGTGGCTAAGGGGGTTGGTGGTTGTAGTGTGAGTCATCTAAGAGCAGAATGGAAGGTCCAGGATATGACAAATGCAGTAAAGTCATGCATGATACCAGGTGGACCAAGGACATAGTCAATAATGTAGAGATTGGGCAATGTCACTAGCTGGGAAAGGTAATAAGTAGGAAAGTCAATACAGAAATGATTGTCATACCATTAAGCTCAGTGAGTAATTTGATTTGCAATCAAAAAATTGCTCTCCAAAATGGCCTGGCTTTGATGCAAGGGGTATGAGTGTCCCATCAACCTTGCAAAATCCAGGGTGTCAGGCACTGCATGAAATGCTCTCAACCCAGTCTGATGCTTTGTGCTTCTCATCCAAATTGGGCCATTGGATTGCCTGGTCATGAAGCGGTACAATTGCTATCATGATATGGCATGTTGCTTCAACAATGGCACCTACACTGCACCCAACCCACGGTGCAACAGCCTCCATGGAAATCACACCCCCACTCAGCATGTTGGACAGCAACAGCAATGATGTATTGGTGGTCAGAGATGAGCATGGCTTTGGAGTTGTTACATAATCTATTTAGAGCCATGTGATGTCAGTGTTAAGGAGCCAGCTGTGGCCTCAAGCATTGAGCAAGTTTGGGACTGGTTTGGGACAGTCAATCATGAGCACATAAACTGAAGCCCCCTATTGGAGGACAGCATTTCATGGTGTTGAACAAGAAACTGAGGATGCTTCAGACAGCAGGTCACTCTCCCAGTGTTAATATTATGTAGAAACAAGGCAAAATGTGAAGGGCAAGCACTCTAGTATTAATCCATCCTATCTGATATCTGGAGACTTGTCATGGTGATCTTCACAAGCCTGGTTTTGTCTGGAAGGTGGGGGGATTGATGATTTTTGCTCTGATGAGAAAATTTCCATTGGGGTGAATGATAGTCTGGATGGCGCATGGCCTTCGCCCACCATCCAGACTATCATTCACCCCAATGGAAATTTTCTCATCAGGCAGTTTCTTCACCAGCCAATGTGGGGAAGTCATACCAATGTTCACAAACAGTAAAGCAACCTTGTCCAATATGATTCTTCAACAATATGAGCAAAGTTGGTGTCTACCATTTAACTGACCCACATCATATTTATGCCCATGGATAACAGTATGATTTGGACTACAATGATTCATGTTGTTTTGCTTGTGAACAAAAGTACGAGGTAGATGTAAATAATTAATTTTCAGGATGGAATCCATCCATATATTTGTTAAACAAAATATATATTCCAAGTCTTCACCTCTGTTGCCAAGCTATTTGGTAGTAGATATTGATCTGGAGATCTCCAACCCACTCCGCAACCCTGAATTTTACCTAGAAATCATCATGAATGGCAGAGTGGCCCCATTTGGAAAGTCCCTATTTGGGCATTGCATGCAGGATAGGCTGATACTTGGCCAATAATTTACTCCTTGAAGGGGCAGCCAGACAACTGTTAACTCTACTAACTGCTCAGTTTCCCCAATGTGAAAATTCTCATTAGGGCAATAATTTACACTGTTGGTTATCATCATCATCCACTCTGCACTTTCACAGACACCAATGGGGGTTTTCTCATTTGGGGAAGCACAACTAGTCTCATGACCTACAACCTTCTTACCCTCATTGGAATTTTCCTATTGGGGCGAACATGGCTCCATGCATTGGTTGGACTGGGTTAGATCACCAGTTTTTCATTGAAAATTGCATACCAACCCTGGTCCAACCCAACTGTAATGTCCTCAAGTCCCCCTTAAATCAATACAACCTCACCACCTAATAATTATTCTTCAAAAATCAACCAGGTTATCTTATTGTTTGCAAGCGTGAATATTGACCTTAACATTGACTTGTAGATGGGAATTATGAGTTTAGAAAATGTGAAAAAATATATCAAGTCCGTGTGGAGGTCGTACTAATGCTCACGAACATCAATAGGACCTTGCCACATAATAATTATTCCTCAAAAATTGACCAAGGTTATTTTATCATTTATAAGCATGAATATAACAACATTTGACTTGTGGATGGAAATTATGAGTTTAGAAAATGTGAAAAAATATGTCAAGTCAGTGTGGAAGTCGTACTAATGCTCGCAAACACCAATACAACCTTGCAACATCATTCTTCAAAAACCAACCAGGTTATCTTATTATTTGCAAGCATGAATATTGACCTTTACATTTGACTTATAGATGGAAGTAATACAACCACAAACCAGTCTTTTTTTTTTCCTATACAAGGAGCAGGATCTGAGATGCTAGGGGATGACTGCTTTTGCTGGAAGTTTGGAAATCCTACTACGACCATGGGGGACTTTGGCATCGACACGGGGTCATACACCAACCCGAACCAGTGGGTCTATTTAACCTATAAATCGACTAGAGTTACCCCCCCTTCAGTTCTGATTGCCAGTCAGTAAGTTAGGGCACGGACATGTCACTAGGCACAGCGCTCTTGGCATAAGTCACTGAGGCCAAAGCCCTCCACCACGGAGACTCTCCTTCATCTCGAATCTGGTCTCTGACACCTGATACCCTACTATCCTTACCCATTCTACTCCATTCCCCCCCTCGTGCAAAGCTTTCCCCATCGGGGTTTTGGTGCTGGCTGAGGTTGTTTGTATTTTGCAGGATTTCCCATGACCTTTCCATTTGTAGATAGTCACACATCATGTACGGAAACCACTGAAGGCGGTTCCCACTGACTACTACAATAATACTCTACAACTGTCTTGTGCACTGTCCCTTGTAACAACCCCCTCTTGTGACTCAACTGAACCTGGGTGCTTGTACAACTCTCAACATGTCCTATATGTCTGGTTATATCAAGTCCTCTGACGGTTCTCGCCATGAGAACTCGAAGTCGTGAGTCAAAGACTCTCGACTTGTGTATGATCCTATGGAACTTGTATCCTATGGGACATCATCACTCAGCTCTCCCCCCAGTGTCTGATGGACAACATCATACTACAATCTTAGAGATCGTGAATACTCTGAGGCCCATATTCCCATGATGTCGGCACACTCACTGCACAAGTGCCAAGTAGCCACCCATCCATCATCTGTTCCCTCCCTCATCAGTCATCATACCTCCTTGCCAACGGTACGTTCCCTTTGGGAACACCAAGTCACCGAAGGCCCCACTAGTCATTCCTCACTGTACACTCATGTTAACAACCTGCTACCAGTACATTCGCACTGTGAATGCCAAGTAACCGATAGCAACGATATGGAATCTTCACACATGGTACACTCCATTGAGGAGTGCCAAGTACCTGTGGCTAACCTGTCCATCCTGTTGTCTCTGACTACACACCATCAATCCCTTAATAGCTCACTCCATCATGAACTATGATTGATGGGAATTTGATCATCTGCTCTCATGCAAGACTGGGAACACTCATCGATTACACATCCTGTTATGGTACAGACTGGATACAACAATCGCCATCCCACTATAAGAACGGGTCAAGAAGGGAGGAATTCTCCCCATCCTCGTAACACTTTTACCTCTACCCCATTGAATATACAGCACATTAAAGCTTTGTCAGGGCATACACCCTGACCTAGCCCATACCCACATCCACACCCGCACCCACAACCGCACCCGGCTGTTGCACTCCCCGCGCGCGCCCTGTGCCGGACGCTCAGTGCGGCCGGAGGGCCCGGACCTCAGGTCTCAGGTCTCATGTGACTTCCGGATATCTCCGGAAGTTTTCGATGTATTGTGGCCACTGTGGGAAGATGAGAAGTTAACTTCCTTCTCATCTCTGACCCACAGTAGGTTGTGCCCTGGACAGGGCTGGTTACACCTGGGACTGTGGACCATAGGGGAGGGTCATGGGGACCTGGGAGTTGTCCCCTGACAAGCTTATATTTAGATGGAATATCTGAGGCCTGAGGTGAACAGGGGAACGGAACGTTACTGTCCCCAAACAAGTAAGCAAAACCTTTCAGAGAGCCACCTGCCAAGTGTGAGAAGTGTTGGTGATGCCCATGGTTGAGGCAGGGAATTACCCTGCCACATGCGCCACATCACCGTTGATATCTCATGACCACAGTGGTCTGCATCCACACACCAGCCGCTATTGGACTGAACAACATTGCCCCCATGATAGTGGGGGTCAGCAAATGAGGGAAGCAGTCTGTGAGGCCCCAGCCCATGTCTATATTCCGCCCACAACATCAGTTGATGTTGTGTTGTGTAATAATTATGTCGCGACGCTAATTTAGCGTTGCGGAAGCTTCTCTATTTATTTGT